TTTGGAGTAATTCAAAAATATATTGCCAAAACTGATGAATTTTCTAGTTTACTGCTTTGGGCGTCCGTTGAACATTCGAGCCCAATTAGTTGGTGGAAATCGAATTTTTTAAATAAATTTCCTCCTGTGGTCAAACTTGCCTGCCAGGTTCTTTCTGTTCCTGCTTCTTCGGCTGCAGCAGAACGTTGCTGGTCTAATTTCGGATTTATTCATAATAAATATCGTGCACGTTTGGATAATGACCGGGTAAAGAGGCTTGTTGCTGTTTATCAAAATTTGAGGATTCAAAGAGAAATTGAAAATGATGGCTGGTTCGATGATAATTAAATCTATATAATATATTTAACCGATGGGAAAAGCACATGGTAAAATAATAATAATATATATATATATATATATATATATACATATGCAGATGGACGAACAAGAAATTGAACAATTATGCTTGTAATTGTAAACATTTTACAAATGATGTTTATAATAAATGCTGTATAAGTTAGTTTCGACCGAATTGCTAAGAATGTAAAATTAACCAGTCAAAAGCGGCAGTTTAACTTTAACTGAGTTTTAGTCTCAGTGCTGTTGTTTTAAAAAGTTTTTTAAAATGTTTTAAAAAACCTAAAAAACTGTTTAAAACGTTTTTTTTCCATCCCTACTTACTACGAACTATAGAACCATACCTATGCCTCCTAGAATTAGGACTCAGTTTTTATGGATTAGGATTCTGAACCGGGTCTTAGAGCCCTGAACCTAAGGACTTTACTATTCCTATTCCTGAAATTGTTGAGGATTAGAAATAAATTTTTTTATAATCATATACCCTTAGAAAACTTAGTTCTCGCCAACCTAAAGACAAATATCAATTTACTGAAAATATTATTACTATGATTGAAGTCATGGATATTGAATTTTAACATAAATTAATTTGTTTATTCTTATCCTCGTTGTCCAACGCAAAACATTTTCGTGTCATATTGAATTCTTAACCACCTTTGCAAAAAGAATACAATGGCATAAAATAAAATAAGCATTTGCTCAGTGAATAAATGTTAAAAAAAAATTTCATATAACAGAAAGCTCCCAAGCTCTTTTAAATAGAAGAGTAATGATTCAGTATACGTAAACGGTAATTTTTGTATTGCAAGTTATGGTAAAAGGTTTCACCAATTATTAGGACAATATTTATGAATTAAATTACTTATTAAGGTAATATTGTCTTAATATTCGTGATGGACTTTTTTTTTTCAGAAACAATGAAAAATATGAACTTTCACATAATATCTTTAATCTACGTCACATTGGGACATTTGTTTCTTATGCGCCAAAGAACACAATCGATAAATTACTATTATGCGGCGTCAATGGGGGCGTAATTTTTATGTAGACTAAATTTCCACGCACGTACTGTATGTACGTACATGCGTACAGCATATTTGTAGTAAATCGACAAAACCTTTCTCGGAGGGATGTAAATATTTATTTTTGTAAGGCCGAAAACATGATTGGATCCAAACGAAACAATATCAACATATCGGTCAACTTCCCTCCTTCATTGTTCTCGTGCGGTCGGTTTAACAAATAATTTGATCCATAAATAGAATAATTTTGATATCTAATTTTTTTCAAATTTGCGTAGTCTTTAACTCAACAGTTTAACGATTCCATCTAACTTATTCAATCTTTTGAAAAAAATTTTCATCAACCTCGATTCGAATAATTATGAATAGGAATATTGAACTATTCATTGGTTTGTAATCCTTTCGCTTATTCTTTATTTAAAAATCACAATTGTTCAATGTCTTTGGGTTCAAATGGATATAGCATATTAAACAGATATTTTTCAGCGATCATTAATCTTATTCCTGTTAACAAAATAAAAACCATTTTTTCCTTATTTATTAGGCGGAAATAGTTTAGAAAAGGCTCCTCCCGGAATCATACAAGAATTTATTAAAGAACACAATGGACATACAGTAATTACAAAAATTTTAATAGCAAATAATGGGATTGCCGCAGTAAAGGAAATTCGTTCTATTAGGAAATGGGTTTATGAAACATTTGGTGATGAACGAGCTATTCAATTTACTGTAATGGTTACTCCAGAAGATTTGAAAATTAATGCAGAATATATTCGTATGGCTGATCAATATATTGAAGTGCCTAGTGGTCCTAATAATAATAATTTCGCGAATGTAGAATTGATTGTTGATATTGCTGAACGAACAGGTGTTCATGCTGTTTGGGCCGGATGGTGAGTTATATATGTATTATATATGTATATATTATTTATATGTAATTTAACAGATTATATTATAGGGGTCATGCTTCAAAAAATCCACATTTGCCTGAATCACTTGCAAAAAGTAAAAACAAAATTGTATTTATTGGTCCTTCAGCCTCTACAATGAGATTTCTTGGTGATAAAATATCGTCAACTATAGTAGCGCAGTCGGCGAATGTGCCAACATTGGATTGGAGTGGTAGTGGTATTACTCAAACAGAAACTGATGAGCATAGTAATGTGGTTATTCCCAATTGTGTTTATGAAGATGCACGCATTAAAGATGTAGAAAATGGTTTAAGTAAAGCGGAAGCTATTGGTTTTCCTGTAATGATTAAAGCTTCAAAAAGCAGTGAAAGTAATTATATGCGAAAGGCAACAAATCCTGAAGATTTTAAACAAGCTTTCTTACAAATGCAGGGTGAGATTCCTGGTTCACCAATCTTTATTACGAAGCTTGTAGGAAATGCTCGTCATTTGGAAGTTCAAATTCTTGCTGACCATTATGGAAATGTTATTTCGTTATTTAGTCGTGATTGTTCTGTACAACGACACCATCACAAAATTATTGAAGAAGCACCAGTTATTATTGCAAAGCATGAAACAATTGAGGCCATGGAAAAGTCTGCTGTGCGACTAGTCAAGCTTGTTGGTTATGTTGGTGCAGGCACAGTTGAATATTTATATGATAAAGAAAATGATTTTTTTTCCTTTTTGGAATTAAAACCAAAGTTGCAAGCCGAACATCCAACTACTGAAATGATTTCTGGTGTCAATCTACCTGCAGCTCAATTGCAAATTGCTATGGGTATCCCACTTCACAGGATTCGAGATATACGAGTTCTCTATGGATTAGCACCTCATGGTACTTCAAAAATTGATTTTGATTTCTCTAATCCAGAATCTCAGCAAACTCAGAGGAAACCTGTGCCAAAAGGGCACGTGATTGCTGTGCGAATAACCGCAGAAAATCCTGATTCTGGATTTATGCCAGTTAGTGGAATGGTACATGAATTGAACTTTCGAAGTAACACAAATGTGTGGGGATATTTCTCTGTAAACTCTGCGGGAGGTCTTCACAAATTTGCTGATTCCCAATTTGGCCATATTTTTGCATATGGTGAGAATCGTCAACAATCTCGTAAAAATATAATTATTGCACTCAAAGAACTTTCGATTCGTGGTGACTTTCGCACTACTATTAAATATCTAATAAAGTTATTAGAAACTCAAACATTTGAGGAAAATAATTTCACTATTGATTGGCTTGATATGTTGATATCTAATGAAAATCTTACCATAGAACAGCCAGACAAGATGCTTGCAATAATATGCGGTGCAATTACAAAAGCTTACATTGCATCACAAGAATCTATCACCAGATATAAATGCTTCTTAGAGAGAGGTCAAATTCCTAGCAATGATATTTTACGAACTACCTTCAATATCGATTTTATATATGAGGGTACATTGTATAAATTTATTGCTACTCAATTTACCCCTTATTCCTTCATGCTTTACTTAAACGGCTCCAAGGTACAAGTATCGATTCGTGCACTTTCAGATGGTGGCCTTTTGGTATTGCTAGATGGCAAGAGCCATACATGCTATTTTCGTAAAGAAGCTCAAGGAACTCGATTGATGATTGATGGTAAAAATTGTTTGCTTGAGCAAGGAAACGATCCAACTCAGCTTCGTTCTCCGTCTCCGGGAAAACTTGTAAGATTCCTGGTTGAGTCTGGAAGTCATGTCAACGCTGGAGATGTGTACGCCGAGATTGAGGTAAGTTTTCTTATTTTACTTTGTCTTCTCTATGGCAAAAAAAAAAAGAAAAAAGAATGAATGTTAATTGTATGATAGGTAATGAAAATGTATATACCTTTGATTGCTGCTGAATGTGGTGTTGTACGATTCGTAAAACAAGTAAATGCGATACTTGAGACGGATGAAATTATTGGCATTCTTACTCTTGACGATCCAAATCATGTTCGTCATGCGATTTCCTATGAAGGTCAACTTCCTATTTTGAATCCTCCAGTCATTATAGGTGACAAAGTTCATCAAAAATATGCTCATGCCATACATATTATTACGTGTATTTTGGATGGTTATGATAATCAAGCAATGTTACAAAATAGTATCAAAGAGATAAATGAACTTTCAAGAAATCCAGAACTTCCATATTTAGAATTTCGTTCTATTCTATCGACTCTTTCTGGAAGAATTCCAATAAAACTTGATTTATCTCTACAAAGTGAAACAGATCAACGAAACCAAGAATTTCCCGCAAAACTTCTTAAAAAGATTATCGATAATTACTTGTGTGATTTTGTTGCAAAGACTGATGTTAGTTTTATGACATTAATAAATCCTTTATTGGAAGTTATTAATAAATACATAGCAGGAGTAAAATATCGTAAATGGAATGATATTATTTACTTTCTAAATAAATATCATGAAGTTGAGATGCTATTCTCAGACTCTGATAAGACTGAAGAAGAAGTTATTCTTGCTTTACGTGATAAATATAAAGATGATTTAGATAAAGTGATTAGTATTGTTTTGTCACATTCCAAATGTAGTTCAAAAAATGACCTTATTATACATCTGTTGGATCAAATTAAACCTGATAATTTTGGGCAAGCACTCAAGTTTTTCTCACCTGTCCTAAGAAAATTGGCAGAACTTCAAGGAGAATCTACAAAGAGTATTTCGTTGAAAGCGCGTGAATTACTAATTCATGGTCATCTACCATCATATGAAGAACGTTATGTACAAATGGAACAAATTCTCAGAGCAGCAGTTATGGAATGTCATTATGGTGACGATGGATATGACTATCATGCTCCTAGTCATGATTCTCTTAAGGAACTTATTGACACTCGATTTGCCGTATCTGACGTTCTACAAAACTTTTTTTATCATCAAGACGTATGGATTAGTCTCGCTGCGTTGGAAGTATATGTCCGACGTGCTTATCGTGTATATCAACTTATGGACTTTGATTATTATACTGAACAAGCCCCGTATATGATCTCTTGGAAGTTCTTAATTCACAGTACTAATCTGGATACTGCAACAAAGTCCCCTTTACATGCAACGTTCCATAATATAACACGCGTTGAAAATAATATATTTGATTCAAAATATTTAATGCCAAATTCACCCAGTGAGCCCATTTGGATAGGAGTGATGATTTCATGTACTTCAAATGAGCAAGTTGCACAAAACTTTCCACGAATTTTAAATATATTTCGCCAATACGGTTGTAAGGAACGAAACTCAACCGATGGTAGTTTTGATAATATTTTCTATATTGCCTTAAGGCCAGGTGATGATCCGATAGATGACGAAATTTTGAAAAGAGATTTACAATCTACAATTAAATGTCATGCAGTCGAGCTTCGAGAGTATAAGATTAGACGTGTTACTGTTATCTTATTCCGAAAAGGTCAATATCCTGGATATTTTACTTTTAAGGAACCACCAAATTATTTAGAGGATTCAACAATACGTCATATTGAACCCGCAATGGCATATCAAGTGAGTTGTTATATAAATTCAAATAATAATTGCTAACTATATATAAATAACCTAATTAATTTATTGAAATAGCTTGAACTTTCAAGATTATCAAATTTTGACATTAAACTTTGTTCTAATGGTAATCAGATTCATATTTATTATGCAATTGGCAAAAAGAATGCTTCAGATTGCAGGTTTTTTATTCGTGCCTTAGTTCGTCCTGGTCGTTTGAGGTTTTTATTTTAAATTCTCTGATTGTCTGAGTTTTTTTTTTTATTAAACGCATACATATATATTTTTATGATAATTTTTGTAGGAATAGTGTACATACAGATTATCTTCTCTCAGAAACTGACCGGCTTTTAAATGAAATTTTGGATACCCTTGAAATCTGTAGTTCAGAATATAAAAATTCTGATTGTAATCATTTGTTCATAAATTACATTCCAACATTTGTCTTGGAACCACGTCAAATTGAAGAAGCTGTTAAAAGCTTTATTGAAAGACATGGAAAAAGACTATGGAGATTACGGGTTATTGATGCAGAAGTTCGATTCAAAGTAAAAGATCCAATTCAAGGAAAACAATATCCCCTACGAGCCATAATAAATAATTTTTCTGGATATGTTGTTAAAGTAGAAACTTATCAAGAAGTTAGAACAGAGGGTGATAATTTAATACTTAAATCAATTGGAAAAATCGGATCTATTCATTTACAAAATGCGTATGTTCCTTATCCAACAAAAGAACGATTACAACCAAGACGTTTCAAAGCTCATTTAATGGGCACTACATATGTTTATGATTTTCCAGAATTATTTCGCCAAGCAGTTCAAACACAATGGAATCATGCTATTGTTAATTGTCCGGAATTAAAATGCCCACCAGATGTATTAGAGGTTAAAGAATTAGCTTTGGATGAACAAGGACAATTACAAGAAGTTGTTCGTTCAGCAGGTAGTAATACATGTGGTATGGTAGCATGGTTGTTCACACTTTTTACACCAGAATATCCTAAAGGTCGTAAAATTATTGTAATCGCAAATGATATTACATATCAAATGGGAACATTTGGTTTTGTTGAGGATCAATTTTTTACCAAGGCAACTGAACTTGCTAGAAAGTTAGGAATTCCAAGAATATATCTTTCAGCTAATTATGGAGCCAGGATTGGTTTGGCAAATGAATTAATGAATAATTTTAAGGTTTCTTGGAAAAATGAAAATAATCCTAGTGAAGGTATTAATTACTTATTTCTTGATGCCGAAACTTACAAACAGTTGAATAAAAATGAAAAGAAATCTGTAATTGCTGAGAAGCTAGTTGAAAATGGAGAAGTTCGATATAAGATCACGTAACTGATTCACTTATAAATATTATATATTTTTAAATTACAAATATAAATTGTTTATTGATTAATTTCATTGTTATAAAGTGATATCATAGGTATTACTGATGAGCTTGAATTAGGGTCTTTAAAAAGTCCAGGTGCAGCATCACAAGCGTACAATGATATATTCACAATTACTCTTGTTACTTGCTGTTCTGTTGGTATATATATATATATTTTTTTTTTTATCAAAAAATTGCATTAGATATTATTTAATTTTAATTATTGATTTAAATGTTTATTAATATTTAAAGGTATTGGTGCACATTTAGTCCGTCTTGGTCAACGAACAATCCAAAATGAGGGACAACCTATTATACTTACTGGTGCGTCAGCTTTAAATAAAGTTCTCGGTCGAGAAGTTTATATGTCAAATTTACAACTTGGAGGAACACAAATTATGCATAGAAATGGTATCTCACATCTTACAGCTCAAAATGATCTGGAGGGTATTACCAAGATTATCCAATGGCTTTCTTATGTTCCATCAGCTCGGGATTTGCCAGTACCTATATTTGAAAATTCAGATACTTGGGATCGAGATATTGATTATATACCACCTAAAGGATTATATGATCCACGTTGGCTATTGGCAGGCAAATCTGAAGCAGATAATTGGATCAGTGGATTTTTTGATCGAGAATCTTTTTTAGAGACATTAGGTGCTTGGGCAAAGACAGTGGTAAGTTTAAATAACAATGTTATAACAATGTTACTATGGCAATTTATTATAAAATTAATTTTTTTTCTAAAAAAGGTAGTTGGTCGTGCACGTCTTGGTGGAATTCCCATGGGAGTAATTGCAGTTGAAACACGTATAGTGGAGCATATAATACCAGCAGATCCAGCTAATTCGGAATCACAACAAGAAATTATTATAGAAGCAGGACAAGTTTGGTATCCAAATTCAGCTTATAAAACAGCACAAGCAATAAATGATTTTAATAAAGGAGAACAACTTCCTTTAATGATATTTGCAAATTGGCGAGGATTTTCAGGTGGTCAACGTGATATGTTTTTAGAGATATTAAAATATGGATCATATATTGTTGATGCGCTTATAGATTATAAACAACCAGTTTTCGTTTACATAGTGCCAAATGGAGAACTTCGTGGAGGAGCATGGGTGGTAGTTGATCCAACAATTGATGAAAGTAAGATGGAAATGTATGCAGATGAAAAAGCTAAAGCAGGAATTCTTGAACCGGAAGGTATTGTTGAGATAAAATATCGGAATGCACAGTTAATTTCTACAATGGAACGATTAGATGAAACATATAGAAAACTTAAAAAATCATTAGAAGATCCTTTAAAAACAGAGGTAGAGAAAAGCAAAATTGAAATACTTTTAAAAGCACGGGAACAAGAATTACTTCCAGTATATTCTCAAATTGCTTTACAATTCGCGGAATTACATGATACACCTGGTAGGATGAAAGCCAAAAATGCGATTCGCAAGATTTTGGAATGGAAAAATGCTAGAAGATTCTTTTATTGGCGTGTAAGAAGACGTATACATGAAGAATATATGTTTAAAAAATTAATTAACATTAATCCTAACTTTACAAGAAATCAAATAAAGAACTATTTAATGGAATGGTTTTATAATGATGTTGGGGCAGAATTTAATTGGGAAGAATCAGATTTTAAAGTTGCAAAATGGATTGATGAAATGCTTGAAAATTTCAATGATGATGAAAGAAACGAGGGTAATAATATTATTAATATAAAATCCAGCACTAGCAAAAAAGATTTAATAAATTTAAGAATCAAAAATATTAAGAATGAAATGGTAACAAAAAAAGTAGTTGAACTAGCAAAAATAAATCAACAGGCTGTAATAGATGGAATATCTAAAATATTAGGAAGTTTAGCTTCGGAGGAAAAAATAAATATTTTGGAAAAGTTGAACAAAACTTTAAATAATTAACGCCCCATGTTATCCATTCTTCTTATATATTCATATAACGATAATAAGCTTGTATAATTCACCTAAATAAGTTCTTTAATTATATAATAAAAATTATTATTATTATTATTAACTTTATTTTTAATAGATAGGATTTAGGCGTACTACCGGTAGCTTTTTGTACTCATTTGTGATACTACTTAAAGCTAATTATCTACAAATT